TCCCACTCTAGGGACTCTGGGGTAGGCCTAGCAGTCCGTGTAACTTGCTCCCAGGGGATCCCAATGCAGACTGAACTGGAGAACCACTGCTCTGAAGGCTAAGAACATATGTAACACTTGAACCAAACTGACTGGTTTCAAATCCCAGCTCTGCACTCACTGGCTATATGACTGCGCGCAAATTACTTATCCTCACTGTTTCTCAGTGTCCTTATCTGCCAAACTGTGATGGTGTTAATACTCTTTATGGTAGTTGTGAGGAGTTAACATATGTAAGAGCAGTTAGTACATTCAGGTAGTGAACACCACATAAGGGCTTACTATGTTAATAGTCTGACAGGAAAGTCATTTGTGTTGGTTTATTGAACGAAATATCCCTTACAGAGTTAAGGTGACTGATATTTGAAACTTCTCTTCATACTATGCTCATCTTTGAGGTCAAATTTGGGTAATATCAAGTGGCATAAAATCAATAGAACTTAGCTTATTATATAATAATAATGTCCATTCATCCATATTACTCAAATCTGTGTGTGTGTATGTGTGTAGCAGTTTACTCTGAGTTGTAGTGCTATCTTTTCAAATCCTATTTCTTTTCTTTTTTAGTGGTAAAATTTTCGACATAATCCTTCATATATGATACATTACATTAGGAAAAAATACAAATCTTTATTTTACTATCTAACTTTCTAAAATGATTAATTTTTTGACTTTCATTTAATTTGAAAATTGAATTTTTTATCACATAAAGTTGGTTCATCAGGGTATGAATGTTGTTTAGTATCTTAGTTTACCATTAAGTCCAGACACATAAATGGCAGAGGAATGTTTTTTAAAGAAATAAAGAAACAAACCACAAATTCACCTTAGCAAATATTTCACAAATCTGCTCACTTCAAACCTATAAATTTCATTTTATGAAGAACATTTTTTTCTAGTAAAATGATTAGTAATAAGTGCAGTTGTACTTTTTCCAGGGCAGTGAGACTTTAATGGATAGCATTTGTCAGGAAAGGTCAAAATCAGAAGCTCAGATGCCTCCAGACCTTCTTCCAGGGCAAAGGAGAGAAAGACCCACTGTACTTGCCCATGGTGCCGTCTGCTTCTCGGCCTGATGGGGTGTCACTGAGAAGGGAAGGCGCCTTGGAGGCTTTGTGATGGCATGGACCACAGAGGGGTGACCTGGACCACAGACACTAACTCTACAAGTCTTTTGAGTGGTGTGCTGGTCAGACAACTCTAGCACCAGGGTGAATATTTGAAAATTTCTAGAAATCTCTTATTAGACTTGTTAATTATTATGAACTTCATTTTCCCTGGATGGTCACAATGTGAGGAAACTCATGCCCTCAAGTTGGGATAACACAGAATAACACTATGGTACCCTTGAAGATGGAACACATATTCATCATGTATCATGTGACTATGAGTTAGTTGAGAACAAAACAGGCAATAAATTCATTCAAAGTGTTATCTCTCTCTTGTTTCAGGATTTCCTTTTATAGTATACTTACTTGCATGTCTGTCATCTCAGCAGGAGGGTCCAGATAATCTAGTCGTGATGGTTATTTTGGCCAGACCCCACTATTCACTATTGGGTGATAATTCGTATTGTAGATGGTAATAACAGACCTCAACTCCGCTGCAGTGAGATTCAGAAGGGAACCCTTGTTTTTCACATAGTGAAATGAGGGGCATCTTATTTGAGGCTATACTTTAGAGAGTTGGTAGACTAAGAAGGCCATGTGTCATTGAAGAAAAGTAAATAGATGTGGGTTAGACCAGAACCATTTCAATGACTTGCCATAAATCGTGCCTCTCAAATACCTGAGTTATTGGAAGCATTGAGGGTCAGCCAGCAAAGCTGTTCCTTAAAGCTGTAATTCTTAAAGTTCTGCACCCTGGCTGTGTGTGATTGCATGCCAATGATGGTCTCAGTCTAGACAGAGCAGTCCGCCTAGGAGGAGGAACAGTGGGCAATCCATCTCTGCATGTGCCTGTTGTCCCTTCCTCTCCAGACCCTGAAATGAGTGCCCACTCATGATTTCCAGGTCCTGTGCCAGCCCCAAGTATCTTCATCTCTTCTCTGTAGCCACCTGACACTGGCCTTTATGTGCAGTAGATTTTGATTCCTTACTTTACCCTGAGCCCTTGCTCAATCTTTTCAACCTGTGCCCTAGACTTTTCTTGACGCTGTTTTTTTAGATATGTGGTGGCTGAGAGTCCAAGCTCTGATTTTAAGTTCTGGTCAGCCCACTTAATGCTGGAAACCATAATACACTTACCCTCTCTAGGCTCTGTGCCTTCAGCTGTAGGACCTGCCTCTCCAGGCTTCCCGAGGCGTAAAGGAGAGGCTCTGGACATGTGCCCACATATTGAAAACCTACAGTAAATGTTTGTTGCCTCTCTCTCCATTTAGTCCAGTTATTTTAAGTCTATTATCTACCTCACCTCCCTTCCATAGAACCTGAGTGTCCTAGGTTTAAATATTTAAATTTGAGACTGCCTAACTGCAGGAGCCTGAGTTTTTTATCTTTTCTACACTCACTATTTGACTGGGTTCATGTAGCCCACAGGCTACTTAAACATTGTCCTTATTATACAGGGAAGTGTGGCAGAGAAAGTAATTCCTGGGGGCCCCTGGAGACTTAGGAGCAGAGTCATGGTATAAACGTGGGCTCCCCATGTCCAGTGATGCCCAATTTTCTGCCTCTAGTCCACATTTAACTCTTGATTCACGTTCGCCCTCATTAGTCCATGCCATTCTCTCTTCTCCTCTTCTCTGTGTTCTCTCTCCTGTTTTTGAGTGATGGCCTTCTATCCCCTCCCCTACTTTCCCTTGTAATAGACTCCTATTTCCTTTATCATTAACCCACTTTTTAAAAATAAAGGTTCATTCTGTTTCTTTCAACCAGCTATGCCCCACTCATATGTTGGATTGTATTTTTCTCCATCTTTGTTACAAGACCTTAAAAATTATGAGTATCATCAAAGTCCTATAAATAGCAGCAAATGACCTGTGGAGGTAGAGCCCTACACTGATCCTCTGCCTCAGGGTCAGCCTCACGCCCTGGAATTCTCACTGCGTCTTCATTCTGGAGGGTGCTGCTCTGACGTGAATATGTCTTGTGCTTCCTTCAGGACCAGGGCTACTTTTCCCACAGTGCCATGCATGATGTCTGTGTTATTGCTGGATAAAGGTCTTCTCTGACCTTCCAGAACAGAATTTATGTCTTCTTGCATCTTAACTTCAAAGCCTTGGACTTGCACTCCCCTCTTGCTGTTTTCCACGGACACCCTGTCTCCCTGCTTACAGTTACCTAAGTGATGGGGAGGGCTGATTTGTCACCAGGGGGTGTGACACAGGCGTGTTGGAGCGTGCTTTAAAGATGGCAGGTCTGAATGTACCCCCTGCAGACTCTGCTCAGCAGCTGAGTAAACTTCTTTTAGCTGTTCCTACTGTTTTAAGCTTGGAAAAGATGACAATAGAGTTTTCTTCTAACTCTAAGTCATGTAAGCAGGAAAAATTGTTTCCCCTCTGAGAAATCTAAAATTCTTAACTCAGATGTTTCACTTTCCTCACAAATTCAAAGGAATAGAGATAAATTGCATTCATTTGTCACTGGTAATCTTTCATAAAACTCTCAAAAGTCAGTATGTCATTATGGAAAACTGAGTCCACTTTCTTTTCTCTACCTAGTTCTTTCACTTAGTAGTTTTTGATCTTGGCCACATGACCCTAACCTCACATCTGAGTCTCAGTTTCCCAAACTGTAAAATGGGAGTAATGATATTCTTCCAAGCTTTCAGGATTGTTCTAAGGACTGAGGAGAGCAAAGTATTTGGAAGTCTTTTATAACTGGTTTAAATGTACTTTATTAATATTGAGAAGCTCACCTTAAATATAATATTTAGTTCCAGTAAGTTTTTCTATCTGGTAAAATATTTCAGCAAACTATTTCCAGCACCAGGGGTTTGACTCTTTCTATGGCCAAAGCACCCCCTTCCCTGTCATGGGCATTCCAGGCCATTGCATGCCACTGACCCTGGGACATCAGCTCAGATTCAGAGTGTCCTTGGAGCACACGAAGGTGACCGTCCCCTAATGCTGCCCCACCAGGACATGTGGGTGAGGTGAGGAGGAAGAAACCCTCACTCCATCTTCCCACAACCCCTAGGGTTATGTTAGTTGAAAACTGTAAAAAATATAAAAATACTCCCCGTGGAGCCCAATGGAAGGAATACACTCAACGAGTTTGCCTCACAGAACCTCGGCCCCAGCTCACAGCTGTGCTGGGATAAACTTTAACATCACTCAACATACACACACCCACGTTACACAGTCCAGATGAGAAAAGACTTGACACTCACCATAGACCATTCAAATGCCTTAATTAAAAGAAAAGAGCTGATGATCACTCAGAAATATCATGTGGCTTCTTGTTTCTCCTTACTTCACAGGAACTAAAACAGGAACTTTTTAAAAACAAAAGTGAACAAAGCACAACTTTTTCAGTGCTCATATTGATCCTGATTTTAGTATTTTCTTAATCCTTTTCCTCATTGCCCCCACACTTTCTCTTTTTAGAGTTCATTAGCCATAAAGTAAGCAACCATATGACTCTATCTATCTATCTAGCTATCTATCTATCCATTCATCCATCTATCTATCTGTCTATCATTTATCCTAATTCCAAAAAAGACTTAGTATAAGCATAATAGCAAGGCTTCTGTTGAAGTTGAGGGATCCTCCTCTGTTCAGGAGAAAGCTGATTTCTCTGAAGGGCATAGCATGTATTCATTTCTTTCCAGGTTGTGTTGTGCACGTGACCTACATGGTGTCATGCCCACTACAGCTGCAGAAGGTCACAGTACACAGTGCTCTATGGTGGACCTGATCTGACTTTGGCATCTTTTATGGTGACAGCAAGGCAGGACAGAGTGAAAATGACCAGAGGGGAGAGCGTGTTACTCACTGCACCATCTTTTCTTTCTTTCAGAGACTCTGACCTATTTCTGTTGGACACCCGCATAGTGTGGGCCTCAGAAGAAGGCTGGCTGGAATTTGACATCACGGCCACTAGCAATCTGTGGGTCGTGACCCCACAGCACAACATGGGGCTCCAGCTGAGCGTGGTGACTCGGGATGGTAAGTTTGCCAAACTCAAGCAAACAGTCACTGTCATTCGTTTCCTTTACAACAGTTGTGGGAGAAGCGTGGTTTACAGTCAAGTCCTGGGCCCAGGATGACTTTATTTAGTATCCCCTTGTAACTCCTACTGAAAAGCAAAATCCTTCCCGGGGGAGACTAGGAGCCAGTTAGGTGGTCAGGCTTCTGAGAGAAACAGTGCGAGGAGAGCACTTGGAGGCAGAGGCAGGTGGATGATGTTGAGATAAAGAAAAAGGTGGGACCATTGTCTAACCCTGACTGTTGAGTACGTTTGTGAAGGTACATTTCAGCATCCCCCCCTTCTGTAACATCAAAGCCTGGAAGATTGAGGTTCCCTCATGGGTCCTCAGACTGGGCATACTCTGCCTGTGAAGTTGCCTCACTGGTTGGCATGAATATGATCAGAAAGAAAGAATGAACAGGAAGGAAAAAGAGTAGCAGAAATGGGAGAGCCTGGGTGTCCCCCAGTCTGCTTTGGTTGATGGACCTTTGGAAAGAGTATTTTGATTTTATCCACCCAGAGTGAGCCATCAGAGATCGGAGAATGCACGTGCTTGCCCATTGCACTCATCCTGTATGATTAGGCCCTGGGAGGCTGGGAAGGATCAGTTATGCAGAATCAGGACTTAGTTTCCGTGGAATAAAGAGGGGTGTGCTTTGGCTTGCATTCAAGGACTCAACATCAACCCCCGAGCTGCAGGCCTGGTGGGCAGAGATGGCCCTTATGACAAGCAGCCTTTCATGGTGGCCTTCTTCAAGGTGAGCGAGGTCCACGTGCGCACCACAAGGTCGGCCACTGGTCGGCGCCGGCAGCAGAGTCGCAATCGCTCCACCCAGTCCCAGGACATGTCCCGGGTCTCCAGTGCGTCAGGTAGGTTTGGTGAAGCCCATTTTTACTTGTTGGCTCTCAGGCCTCAGTGAGAACAAAGGACATATGGGTGGTTTCATATGCTGCACAGCTTCTGCATGGCAAACTCAAAGGCATGCAGCTGCCTTGTCATTGTTACTTAGACGGGTTCCTAGGACCATCTTGTTATCCAGAGATGGCGCCTGCAGGCTGCAGACGTCCTGTGTGTCTCTTTTTCCAGAAAAGCATCCTTCTGTTTGATAAGAGTTCTCCAAGTCTTTTTTCACTGCCATAAAGATCCTGAGAGTACCTAGATTTTCTTCTAGTTGCATTTTGCCTGGGAGCTTGCAGTGTAGAAACAAACTTCATACTCTCATATTACCTGGACTTGTATTTGTCAGTGCCCTTGGTCGGCAGTGGTGGAGAGTCAGCTCAAACAACACTCAGTGGCAGATTTGGTTGGTTCATTTAACTCAAACATTCAGAGGTTCTAGCTTTAGGCATGGCTGCCTCCATGGGCTGAGATGATATGAGGAATCTCTCTTCTTCTATTTTCCTTTGGGGGGCACTCTCACAAAGACTATCTCTCTACAGTAGTAAGGAAGCCAATCGATAGTTCCAGCATCATCCCTTTCACTGAAGCTTCAGTAGAAAGCCAGGCTGGGGCTATGTGCTCACCCCTGAAATGAGGTAATGGGGTCAACCCCATCCTGCCCTGAACAGGGAGGTTCAATGGACAAGAGAGAGGGAACAGGTCACACTACTTAGGTGTCAATTCATTGGTTCTTCAGAAGTGTTCCCTCCCATGGGAATGGGCATACACCTCACAGAGCTAGTAACTGGAATTCCAGCCCAGGTGCACCTTACTCTAAAACCGGTGCTTGCAAGTTCTGGGTTTCCTATGGCTGTTTAATAGTCTGGGAATCCAGCATGAAGCTGAAGATTTGATGTGGGATTTTCAGTCAGAGAACTTGCTTCCCTTGTTACTACTCTGTGACTTTGAACAAACCTAATCCACTTCAGCTTCGTTCACTCATCTACTCAGTGGGGATGGTTAATACTTGGTAGATTTGCTGGGATTCAATGAGAAGCATTTGATCTGGCTCATAATAGCACTCAAAGGTGAGTTGCATCCAATTGTAGGAAGTAGGTTGTCAGGACACATGTTAGGACCCTGGGAAAGCATGTAAAGTACTTCCTGGAAGATGCCTTAATTCTCCCAGTGACTGTTTAAAAATGTCACCTTCAGTGGCCAGAAAGAGTTCATGCAACTCCCCAAAGTCCCCAATTTTTCTTTGGGAAGAAGTGTCTACAGTTTACATTCTGACTTAATACATCATTTCTTTTACCAGTAACTTGGATATGGAACATGAGGATCCACCACCCAGTGTGAGATGACATTTTGCTTCTTGTCATCCTGGTGTTTCTTGGATGTATCGCACAGCATGGGTGTTTCTGTGTTTACCACTAGCAACAGTCAGGGTTGGGGTTTAAAAGAAAAGAAGAAGAAATGATCGCTTTCCTTTATTCGCTTCAGAAGAAGCCTGCTGAACAGAGTTAATAATCCCCGAGTGTCCCTCAGGGCATGACGACGGGTAGTTCTGCCAATGGTGGGCTTCAGCTCACTGATGAACTGTGGTCAGTTCGGTACTGGGACCTCAGGCATGAAGACAGCTCTTGAAATGTTGATTGCTTTTAAAATTAAAGTTTCACTTGATTTATTCAGCATCTCCTCTCCTCCCTAATACACACAGGAATTTTTTTAATGGAGAAAACATGTTGTCTCTGATTTTGGTTTTAGTAGTGACATCCAATCATTTTTTTTGAAGTTCCTTTCAACTTTTTTTTATTTAATGAGTTTAAATTAAATATGAATATTAGAGTTTATCTATTTCACAATAGGATATAAGTATATCCATTTTTATTTGGTCTTCTCACCCCCCACCTCCCAACCCAACACTTTCCAATTTGCTTTGCTCCTGTCAGCAGTACTAAAGCAAAAGAGCTCATCACAGACACCTCTGGCCTCAGCTATGCAATGGCCCAGACCCCCAAGAAAGCATTACTACAAAGGATCCTCCTTGCCTCTCACTGTCTTCAAAGACCCTCTCAAGCTGCTCTGAGAAACTGCTCACGTGAGGCCGACTGAAGTGCTATGTTACTTATTTGGCTCTTTCTTCCTTATGTATCCATGCCGTTAATGGGGGTGGACATGCAGAGGAGGAGATTGCTCTTGCAGAAAGGGATTCCAAAAAGATGGCCTGCTACCCCGAGAAATGGGCTGTCCGGTTTGTGCTGTCCTTCCAGGCTGCGGTGAGGCCGGATGTTCCTGGGCCTTCGTGAACCAGGCAGATGCTGCAGAGATGCCAAGCTGTGGCCTCTGGTGTGACTCCAGGCAGGCCCCTCCCCTTGTAAATCTTGGGGGAGGTGGAAGCAAGAGATTGCTTTGCCTCTGCTGCCCTCCTTCTTCCACAGTGCACTCCCAGGGAATTAGCATCTCTCCATTGAAACTACTCGTATAAGAGGAGTGAATTGCTCACTCTAACAACCACCACCAGGAGAAGCCCACTAGAGAATGCCCTGCATCTGGGTAAAGAAGTTAACAAAATTCATCAAATTGCCTGTCATCAGGGTGAAGCATGGCAGGGGGATATGTAGCTATTTTTAGAACTGAGCTGCAGATGCCTGAGGCAGCAGGACCAGTCCACAACTAGGGAAAGGCTGAGAGCCCCATCCGCGTCCTCCCTACTGCCCACCAAAATCTGCTCTCATCTGTCTTTGGCCTTGAAGCTGGACTTTCCAAACACATGCACCAAACAGTGGGTTTGGGCTGAAGTCCCCCTGGGTGGTTTTCACTTGCCCTTGCTTCTCTGCAGCTGTCTGCTCCAAATAAATGATGGATGTTGGCTGTGTTGCACTTCTCCAGTGGGCTTGAATATCATCTGCACAGTATCAGCTATTGTTTTTGCACATGTTTTTCTAGTCCAGGTCCAAGCCATGCTGTGCAGCCCACTGGGGATTCTAGTCAACCTCGCAATTTCTTTTTCAGTCTCCAGTTCTACCAGCCTAACAGGTCTAGTGCACCCTTGCATTCCTTAGTTCTCATTTAGTAGTCTCTTCCTACTTGCTTTCATATACCGTCTTCTATAGTATCTTTCTCTTGGGGCTCATTCTTTTGTCTTCTGGGGCACTGTGACACCACCTGGCCCATCCACAATGAGGGCTGTGGACAAATAGGCTTGAGGACAAATAGGATTGTCCCATGTGGGGGTTCTACATACCGATATAGCTAATTTTCCAGGATTTTTCCCAGACATCTTTGGGGAGGGGGTAGTTTTTGCGATTAAAAGTCAGCTGGTGAGTGTGAGGTTTCCTGCCATGTTAACCCACCGGCTGCCAACTGCCAACAGTGTGACTTGGAATTGCTCTTCCTTTTGGCAGATGGTAGTTGGGGAGCATATCTGCCACTTTAACAATTCATGTAAAATTAGATGGGATGACTTTTAAGCTTTGAAATTTAATCCTTGATGTTTATGTTGCTACCACCCAGCTCTGCCAACCATCTATGAACAACTTTTCCAGGCCCTGTCTGTCCTTTGGAATGAGCCCTTCAAATGTTACCTGTTTATACTTCTTACAGTCAGTTCTCTTTTCAACCCATCCACACATAAAGATACAAACATGTATCTTTAAGAATCCTGGAGGAAAGCGTGGATCTGGTACATTTAGATATACTTTTTCGACCTTGTTGATAGTTCATATCTTATATTCCTTGAACTTCCCAATTGAGACCATTCAGTATGCTTCTAGATAAGAAAGCTAACTGGAAGTCATCACTTGCAAAACAATGGTTTGGGTACTTTATTATGACAATGAAATCTTTTGCTATAGATTTCAGGGAACTCCAGTCCACAGACTAGGAGGTCTCATTCTTACTGTTCCTGGTAGGTGTCCCCCCAAGGTCACCCCTGGCTTCCAAAGCTTGGAGAGAATGGACTGTTTGCAGTTCTTCAAAGGAGTGGGGAGTTTTAATTTATCATTTTGATCTTAAATTAAAATTTTAGACACTGCAGCTTGGCTTCCAGATGTCTCAGTCAAGAAGTAGAGGTTAGCTCAGATTTTTCTAAATGAAATCAAATCTTAATTCTCTGCCTCTGCAGTGGGCAGGTGTGGCATTAGCAATTTGAAAGTTAGAATCACTTCAGATGCCATATTTATAATACTTGACTCTCATTTGCTACTAAGTGCCTTTAGAATAATAGTTATCAAGAGGGAAATGGACTGGAAAGTTACCTTCTGTCCCATCCCTGGGCTCGTCCTTAGGAAGGTGCTAATGGCAGCAGTGCTAAAAGTGGTAAGAATAACGAGGCGTGAAGAGGTGCTACCCAGTAATTCAACAACTGCCCCAGCTCCCCGCAGGTTCCTGAGGCCAGGAGACCCAGCCTAGGGACTGATGGGGAACAAAGGTGCTTGGAGCAAGGGGGTATTAGAGCTTAGCATTCAAAGGAAGCATCTATTTTCAAAATATTTAGCTCCATTTTCTTTTATAATCAAGACAAAGCCTAGGAAGAGGCCAACGTCCCACCAGATTAAATGGAATCTTACAAGACCTTGAAATCCTGGAGCAACAGAAGAATAAGACCTCTCTGTTGCCTCTCGTGTTAACCATCCAGGTTGTAAACAAAACCGAGACTCTGAAAATTAATCTCTCATCCTGCCCCCCACCCCCTAACCTTATGAGATTATTGACACCAGAAATCAAGATCCCAGAGTGGTTCCTTGCGGCTTGCAGTGTCCGAGGCGCGGGAGCGGGGTGTCTTCCACCTGCTCTCAATGGCTGTATTGATTCTGTGGAGCACGTGGGAGCCAGGTACTTGCTTTGGATAAGACGACTGATAAGGCCCAGGGATATGGAGAGAGCGACCAGGCCACTGAAGACAGAGGTGCCCTTTTAACAGCTGTTTGTTATCCTTCCCCTTGGCATCCAGGGAGAGAAGGGAAATAAGAGTAGTGAATTGCTCACT